CAATTGTATCTGGCGTGTCGTGTCGACTTCATAGCTGTTAATGAAATAAGATAAATGACCTACACCAGGTTACCATGACACCTAATGGACTTCTGATGTTCCCACTATGTCATGTTAAAACCTGGGAGCGGGCCTCGCGGCTGAGCGGTTGGCAGTTTAACTGGTATGCTGGGATCCAGAGAGGGCTATTGGGCTCAGATTTTAAGGAACATTTGGCAGGGTTTTTTGTTTTTTCACAATAGAACCTACACATAAAGTCAACGGAATTTTCATAAGCAAGCTGCTTAAGGGATTTGATAGAGTAAGAAAAAGATTTCAGGGATAAGTTGTATCTAGGCTGTATTCCCCGATCTCAACTAAAAATGCCGTTCACAGTCCTTTGTGGACCATAGCCTTCCTTCGGACCGCCTCGCCATCCAGCAGTAAGTCTGGAAAAGAGGGGTCCTCCCTGGCTCTGGCCTTAGACAATAGATGCGGTAAAGAGGACAATGGAACTCGACCAAAACAATGGAAATGCCATGGAAACGTGTGAGAGAAAGGAGCGGTGGGGGTGAGATCCCTAATCTCCCCATTGTCCCCCAGCAAAATTAGGCTGCATTTAGGCTATTATTTCTGTGTGTATTTCACTCTATGTTGAGGTAAAAGTCGGAGTATAATGCTTGTATGGATGTCAGGCCCTATACATGTTCATGTCATCGTCACCAATCAACTGCATTGCAGTTAAAAACGACTTTGACTACCACCACCGATTTCTGTATGCTAGCTATGTTACCAGTTTATACGAACGGGAGTTAGCATTTAACAGTCACTCCTTCTAAACCTGAAAAGGAACAACTTCTAAATGTTAAGCAGCGAAGACAGCCAAATATATCAAAATCTGACTTTAGTATCGACATTGTGGGCCTGTTACAATACATAAATCATGACGGATTTGACTAATATCCATTTTGTTAGATCAGACTGGTCGAATGTGCGCCAACCCGGCATCCTTCTTCTATCCCCTCGGTCTCCGTTCCATTGACCTCTTTACCGCATCTCCCTCCCTCCCTCCACAGCTGCTTTGAACCCATCAATTTTATAGTCTCTCTTCGACAACCAAAACGTCTTTCTGCTCAGGGATGCAGGAAGGAAAACATATTTTAATGGTAATGGCATTTTCCAGTAGTTGCATTCTCTATTCAAGACTTGGCAAACTAGAGTTTAAGTGGCATCCAGAAGATAAATTCTGTGGATTATTTGCAATGGTCAATGAGACAGGCAGACAAGCAGCAGCTTCCTATGGTCAACAGGTTGTTACATTCTCTTGATCTGATGAAAGGTACAGTGTTGGGAGACATTTGGACAAATGGTCTGTTGATGTGGGACTTGAAGGTGTAGTACTGTATTTACATTATCATCAGGGATGTACACTCAGTGGCCAGTTTATTAGGTACACCCATCTATTACCGGGTCGGACCCCCCTTTGCCTCCAGAACAGCCGGAATTCTTCGGGTATCACGCAGTTGCTGCAGATTGGACAGCGGTACATTCATGCTGCCAACAGCCCGTTCCATCTCATCCCAAAGACTCTCTATTGGGTTTGGTCAGCAACAATGCTCAGATAAACTGTGGCATTCAATCGTTGCTCAATTGGTATCAAGGGTCCTAACATGTGCCAGGAAAACTTTCCCTACACCAGTACACCACCAGCCTGTACCATTGACACCATGCAGGATGGCTCAATGGGATCATGCTGCCTATGCTAAATCCTGACTCTGCCATCAGCATGACACAACAGGAACCAATGTTTTTCCACTCCTCATTTGTCCAGTGTTGGTGATCGCGTGCCCACTGGAACCGCTTCTTGTTTTTAGCGGATAGGAGTTGAACCCTGTGTGGTCGTCTCCTGCAATAGCCCATCTGTGACAAGGATTGACGAGTTGTGCATTCATAGATGCTGTTCTTCACACTACTGTTGTACTGCGCCGTTATTTGTCTGTTTGTGGCTTGCCTGTTAGCATTCAGGATTCTCGCCATTCTCCTTCAACCTGTCAATGAGCTGTTTTCGCCCACAGGACTGCTGCTGATTGGATGGTTTTTGTTTGTTTCATCATTCTCTGAAAAACCCGTTTCTGAGATACTAGATCCGGCACGCCTGGCACTGACGAACATACCACGTTCAAAGTTGCTTAGGTCACTAGTTTTGCCCATTCTCACGTTCAATCGAACAGTAATTAAATGCCTCGATGCCGGTCTGCCTGCTTTATATAAGAAGCCAGGTGACTCACTGTCTGTAGGAGCAATCCATTTCGGTGAACGGGTTGGTGTACCTAATAAACTGAGTATAGTTGTAAAGTGCAAAGCACCCTGAGCACCGTAGGTATATAATTTAGGTGGGTAAACCCATAATGCAAAAAACCCACTTATCTTGCTGAACAGACCTAAACCCTATCCACAAAATAAAAAAGGTGGGTAAACTGGGTTTCCTTGAGTTTACCCTCACCACGGATTATCATATGGGAAAGATTTTCATTTAAAGGTACTGCCAAAATGTGTTTAGGCACGTGCACAGATAGGGCTCTATACCTGTGCAGAGCACATTCCCCATTTGCCCTTCCAGTCTCTAAAGTGTCCTTTTGTTTTGGGTAAAAACAACAAAAAACATTTTTTTTTTGTATACATTTTGTCGTTCTGAACCCACTGCCCGAAAGTCGTCGTTAAATTCACCTTAAATGTGTCATTAAATTAGCTATTAAGATGTGGCCATCTTTTATGTAAATAAATAATCAAAGCCATAACGGCCCAACGAGTCTGTGACCGAAGTTTTCATTAAAAACATTTTTGGGTTGCCTTTTTTTTGTTTGAGCACCTTCCACCAAAAGGCCTGTGCACGGCCCTGTCTAAATCCATTATATTTGGACATTATCATGAATGGGAAAGATGGCATGATTTTGGGAAACAGACAGATGATGAGTCACCCAGGCAGGTTGATGTACCGAAAGAAAGTCGATGTTTAGGTAACAATCACATGGAAACCTGCTGGTACCTTCTCAGATCTGAGGGTATTCTTTCTTGGTACTGTAGGGGGCTAGACATGACGTTATCCTTAGACACTGATTCTGGGTCAATTTTGCATTTTTCCCACTTACAATGTGTGGAGGGCAAGCCGATTCTAGATCTGTATGGGGCAACTTCCCCAGAACACTTGCGTGTCATGTGTTATGTTTTTGTAACTATCCTAATGCGATCTCATACTTGACTTGAATGTTGTTTGCCATTTGACTGACTGATCTTGAAGACGAAGACTTACTCAACATACCCAAATTATACTTAACCTTTATTTAACCTGGCAAGTGAGTCAATGGCTTAGTTTTCTTTTCCTATGTTAGATGCTCACATTTTATGTTTTTAATTGATCATCCTGTCGCGGTTCTGTCAAAAATCAAATGTCTCCCCAGCTTCATTCTTCATATCATAGTTTTGAATTAAAGTAAATCAGAGCCAGCTTGCATTATAGTGGATAATTTTTGATATCATTGACAGTTACAACAAATGTTGACTTGAAATAACATTTACATTCTGTTTCTGAGTGGAAACAGAGAACTAGTCTCATTTAAGGGTCATAAATCACAAAATATCAAACCCTTGAGACAATAAAACACTAGATATTTAATTGTCAAAGTTTTAGAAATGTCAATAAGCAATTAACGCAACACAGCTGCACAACGATGACGAACTCCACACTTTCAAAAGGAAGACTTATCTAAACTTTCCAAAAATGTACCAAGTGTAAGAGTTAAGTCAGTCAAGTGTCAGTGACATATTATATGTGGATCTCTGGTTCACACACCCACCTCCAGTGGTCTGGAGCGAGCAATTAAATGTATGTTGGTCAATACTGCCCCCTGCTGGTCTATGTAGCACACAGTCTGCTTGGGGGGGGGGTGTTTACAAGTCATCGGAGTATGGTTGAGTCTCAATACTCTATGGCTTCCTCTCAAATAGGCATTTGCCACTTTCACCGATGATCATGGGTTTTCAGATGACTGCACACCAATTAGAGAAGGAATAAAAAAAAAAACATACTAGGTGAAAGACTTCTGTCGTGTGGAAGACTGTATGGTGGTACAGACCCTGACCAAAATGCATGTTCAAATAAGAGCAATATCCTATTCCTAGTCTGAGTATTATTGATGGAGTTCACTGTTAAGTCAATGGGAGCTTTTTCCCCGTCTTCCCCCACCAACAACAAAACAAATTGGGCATTATTCACGTTGAAACGTTTTATTTTTATGTAAAAAATTACAGTAAATCAAGTTGATAGTAACTGTAAACACTAGGCTACTATAAGCAATGGAAGCCATATACATGCCTCAGATGACAACGCACTAGGTTAAATTGCTATTTTCAGGCTGCATGAAAATACATCAGTACTTCCCATATTTGTACAGCTGCCTTGGAAACTCATTTTAGATGCTGTATCACATACACTTCTCTAGAAGTTCATGTCGGAAGTTCAATAAAAAATTAAAAGGTAACAATGTTGCTTGTTTAAAAATCTTCACCGTCATTTCAAACTGCAGTTGATAATGTACCAAAAAGCAAGAACAATTATGTATAGGAATATACCATAGACTTCCCAATCACATACTCTCCTCTTTTATAACTACATTGGGAAAAACATTCTGCGATCAACCCTTTAAACCAGTATTAATTTCTTTATGAGAAACAATCATGTTAGTCTTTGGCTGAATAAAAAATAATGAAGAAACGGGTAGTACACCGGTGATATCTGATGAACCAAGTATATGTTACTCAATTCAACCATTAAGGTGATTAGAGAAAGCTTTTATTTCGCACAAAAATTATGATCCAGTGTTACCAAGAAGATGTATCATGTTTTTGTAGTAAAATTCAGGAAAACGTGAAGGCCCGTGTTTTTATGCTTTTATCAGAAATTGATCAATCAATGAAAAGGTTTAGGGGAGAAAAGGATCAAAATGACTATCATGGCTTCCTTTTTAGTCGTCATCAAAGTTCTGTTGTAAAAGGAAGTTAGCAGCCAAGTTCTCATTCTTCTCACAGGCAAAGTAGGCCTGTATAACAAGTCCTTCAGGGAATCCTAGGGCTTTTAGCTGTAAGAGGAAACGGACAAAGTCAATATTGAAATTAAATGAACAAAGTTCCTGAATAGAGAAATGACAGGATTGGCATGACATTTACTCCGATAGGTAGGTATGTAGGAGTGTAATAAAGTCATCCATCTTCAGTTGAAAAGAACGCAGTCTGATATCAACACTTAGCTTTTCGTTATCAGGTTTGACACGGACAATGCAGATTAACTGGCATTTCTGTAAATGGGCCAGATTTAGCTAACTAGCTCATTTAACTGTAGCCATTTATCAACAGACATCATGACCTGTGAGATTCATTCTTTACCCTCTCAATAGCCTCCTTCTCCTGGGGTGTGACCTGGATGTAGTTCATGCCACTTCCAGCCTCCCCACCGACCGCCACTCCTCCTCCTCCACCACCACCACCACCTCCTCCTCCACCTCCTCCTCCCCCCTCCTGGGCTGGCTCATTCAGCATCTGGATGAACTGCTCTTGGTGGCTGCTGATTTGCTGGGAGGGAAACAAGACAGGGTGTTCATTAGGGCACACTGTAGCAAAACGTTTTTGCAACGGTAAATAGCCATTTCTTGAAGGGATACTTCGGGATTTTCGCAATGAGGCCCTTTATCTACTTCCCCAGAGTCAGATGAACTTGTGGATACCATTTTTTATGTCTGTGTCCAGTATGAAGGAAGTTGAGAGGTAGCTTCACGAGGCAATGCTAACTAGCGCTAGTGCGATGACTGGAAGTCTATGGGTATATACTAGCATGCTAGTAGATACCCATAGGGCCTGGTCAAAAGTAGTGCACTGTAAAGGGAATAGGGTGCCATTTGGGACGCACAACAGTGTTTTAAACGGACAGTCTCCCAAGCGGGGTCTGCTGCGATGCCTTCAGGCTCTGATCTCATCCCTTCACTATGCAGGCCTGAAGAGATGAAGGACACAGAGGGGAATTGATTTGGCAGACAGACTAGTTGAATGCTGAATTCCAGCTAGTTTTATCTACTGCTCATTGTAACCACTACACCATTGTGTCCTTGGTGCCGGTAAGAGTAGTGTGTGTGAGTCGTCCATACTTGCAGAAGCTGGGGGTTCTCCCTCCCTATCTGCTGTAGCAAGGCAGGGAGCAGAGAGGGGTTCTGCTGGATGATCCGTCTCATCTGGAGGAACTGAGGCTGGTTAACCAGGAACCCCAGAGGGTTGGCTGGAAACACAGAGGGGAGAAGAGGTCACAATGGCAGTGTTCTGTTTCCACAGTTCCACATTCCATGTCCACGTACTATACTGAACAAAAATGTAAACGCAACATGCAACAATTTCAAAGATTTTACTGAGTTACAGGAAATCAGTCAATTAAAAAATATATAATTAGGCCCTAATCTATGGATTTCACATGACTGGATCAGAAAACCAGTATCTGGTGTGACAACCATTTGCCTCATGCAGCGTGACACATCTCCATCGCATAGAGTTGATCAGGCTGTTGATTGTGGCCTGTGGAATGTTGACCCACTCCTCCTCAATGGCTGTGCGAAGTTGCTGAATATTGGCGGGAACTGGAACATACTGTCGTACATGTCAATCCAGAGCATCCCAAACATGCTCAATAGGTAACATGTCTGGCGAGTATGTAGGCCATGGAAGAACTGGGACATTTTCAGCTTCCAGGAATTGTGTACAGATCCTTGCGACATGGGGCCGTGCATTATGCTGAAACAGGTGATGGCACCAGATGAATGGCACGACAACGTGCCTCAGGATCGTCGTCACAGTATCTCTGTGCATTCAAATTACCATCGATAAAATGCAATTGTGTTTGTTGTCCGTAGTTTATGCCTGCCCCTACCATAACCCGACCGCAACCAAGGGGCACTCTTCACAACGTTGACATTAGCAAACTGCTCGCCCACACGACGCCACACCTTGTCTGCCATGTTCAGTTGAAACCGTGATTAATCCATGAAGAGCACACTTCTCCAGCATGCCAGTGGCGATGGAAGGTGAACGTTTGCCCACTGAAGTCTTTTTACAACGCCAAACTGCTGTCAGATCAAGACCCTGGTGTGGGACACGAGTACGCAAATGAGCTTCACTGATAAGGTTTGACAGTTTGTGCAGAAATTCTTTGGTTTTGCAGTTTCATCAGCTGTCCGGGTGGCTCGTCTCAGACGATGCCGCAGGTGAAGAAGCCGGATGTGGAGGTCCTGGGCTGGCGTGGTTACATGTGGTCTGCGGTTGTGAGGCCAGTTGGACGTACTGTCAAATTCTCTAAAACGACGTTGGAGGCGGCGTATGGTAGAGAAATTAACATTCAATTCTCTGGCAAGAGCTGTGGTGGACACACCTGCAGTCAGTATGACAATTGCACGCTGCCTAAAAACTTGAGACATCTGTGGGATTGTGTTGTGTGACAAAACTGCACCTTTTAGAGTGGCCTTTTGTCCCCAGCACAAGGTGCACCTGTGTAATGATCATGCTGTTTAATCAGCTTCTTGATATGCCTCACCTGTCAGGTGGATAGATTATATTGGCAAAAGAGAAATGCTCACTAACAGGGATAAACACACATTTGTGCACAACATTTGAGAGAAACAGACTTGTGTGTGGAATATTTATGGCATATTTTATTTCGGCTCATTAAACCAACACCTGTTGCGTTTATATTTTTGATCAGTATATTTCCACAGAGTTCTGTGTTCCATTTCCACAGAGTTCTGTGTTCCATTTCCACAGAGCCACAGAGTTCTGTGTTCCATTTCCACAGAGTTCACAGCAGCACACCAGTGTTTTAAACTCCAGTATGACAAACCGCTAATGGCATGGAACAATCGATACAGTGCAACATGGAGGGCATATCAAAATCTAACTGTCTGATGCTGAGAACTGTCAGTCAATAGGTTACAATTTTCTTATTATTCAGAGAGAATAGAAATGCATCAAAAGCTTTCTGTGTGTCCACAGCACACAGAAGTGTTGTTACACATGTGCACGCATGGAGTGCAGAGGCAGGCATGCGCACACACTCACCTCCTGTTGCAACGCTGGCGGGGGTGGTCATACTGCCTGTGTTGAGAGCTGGAGTTCCTCCACCCACAGGGGGCACCACTGAGTCAGCACCCGCATCTCCCTCCTCCCCAGCTGGGATCCCCTGAAGAAGAACAACCACAGGACAACGTTCACTCCCGAATTAGCGATACAACGTAAGAGCTGTCAGACTATGTGGAGGAATCTAGCTTGCTTCATTCCAGCTCTAAGGAACATGTGGATGAAAACCGTCATAAAATAGAAACCTGAAGTACTTAAAAAACAGGGGGTATTTTGTTAGTTTTACTATGGCATAACCAATCAATATCATTGGAACACGTTTCAGGAAGCTAGGCGTATGTCGCACGTCACTACTTCACAGGAGAGGTATTTGAACGTAAACATTCATTTTTTATCAAAATGCGTTTTTTGGCAGAAATGCCTTCTGGAACGTGAACTTTCATGTTCCATAATAAACTTGCATGCCATCTGTAAATACGAATAAAATTGTTAAATTACGAGCCTAGTTGGTTTAGCCACGGAAAAAGACAGGAACCTTCCCACTAGCCATGATTGGCTGAGATAATGGATGGGCTGAACATGCCGAGAGATGAGTTCAGATTGGTCTGCCGTGCTTCGGTCTATAACATGAGCTGCTCAGTATGTGTAGATAATCCTTTCCACCGCGGCTTTTTTGAAAGATATCATGAAGAGCTGCAAAAGTGTTGTTTCTGATGACAGTGATGGGGAAGAAATGGCAATCAACAGTGTTGTTGTCACAGAAGAAGTTGACCGAGTTTTGAAATCAGTGGAATGCCCGGTGGAAGCAGAGTATGATAGCTAAGGAGATTGAGAAAATTCTGGCGTTTGATTGCAAATATGCGGAGGGAGTCGAAAAGAGAACACAGAAGGCTGTGGTATAAAACACCTGTCTCCGGATTACATCTTCAAACTAAGGGCAACCATGGCATCCGTGACAGAGGAAGAAACGTTTATCCATGTATACAGGTAAGAGTCTAGATAGCTACATTTTCAGATATTATACGTTTCAAATTTTGTCCGAAAGTAGTTTCATTGCAAGTTAAATCATACTGTTAGCTACCTAACGTTAGCTAGCTAACGTTAGCTGGCTGGCTGGCTCGCTCACTAACAAGACGTGTGTAGGAATAATATTTGTATCTCAGAAATCCATTTGCATTGCTAGTTATAGCTTAATGTTAGCTAGCTAGCTATCGTTGAACCTAGTTGGTTAGCTTTAGCTACCTGCAGATACATGCATGGTGGCTGGCTATGACAATCAGTTTGTGTTGCTGGTTGTATGGGTTGGGATTGCCGCGTTCAAAACAACTGGGAACTCGGAAATCTCTGACTTCTGACTTCAGTGCGTTCAAGACAACTGGGAATTCTGAAGAAAAAAAACAAGCGACTGGGAAAAATAGTTTAGAACGGTCATCCAACTTGGAAATCAGGCCTCTTTCTAGAGCCCCGACTTTCCGACCTGAAGATCACTGGCGTCATGATTTGACCTCGTATTTTTCAAAGTTCCCAGTTGTCTTGAAAGCACCATTGGGTTCATTGTTTAGCTAGCTACCTACATGTCTAAACAAGACTCCACTTTGCCAGATGATTACATGACCGACCAAGTTAGCCAGGTGTGTCTCGGGGTGATTACGGCCATCTATTGTATTTAATGAACATGTCTAGACAATAGTGACCCATCCACTTAGCTAGATGTGGTTGGGGGGTGGTTATAGCATTTCTTTCACATGACCATTCATACGGAATAAAAAGGCGTGTCAGGCTAGAGAAGTGGATGGTGTGATACTTACTGTAAGCAGGTACTCCACAGCTATCTGTGTTGTTAAAGCTGTGTGTGTGTATTCTTACTGTAAGCAGGTACTCCACAGCTATCTGTGTTGTTAAAGCTGTGTGTGTGTATTCTTACTGTAAGCAGGTACTCCACAGCTATCTGTGTTGTTAAAGCTGTGTGTGTGTATTCTTACTGTAAGCAGGTACTCCACAGCTATCTGTGTTGTTAAAGCTGGGTGTGTGTGTGTATTCTTACTGTAAGCAGGTACTCCACAGCTATATGTGTTGTTAAAGCTGTGTGTGTATTATTACTGTAAGCAGGTACTCCACAGCTATCTGTGTTGTTAAAGCTGTGTGTGTATTCTTACTGTAAGCAGGTACTCCACAGCTATCTGTGTTGTTAAAGATGTGTGTGTGTGTATTATTACTGTAAGCAGGTACTCCACAGCTCTGTCTGTGTTGTTAAAGCTGTGTGTGTATTCTTACTGTAAGCAGGTACTCCACAGCTATCTGTGTTGTTAAAGCTGTGTGTGTATTCTTACTGTAAGCAGGTACTCCACAGCTATCTGTGTTGTTAAAGCTGTGTGTGTATTCTTACTGTAAGCAGGTACTCCACAGCTATCTGTGTTGTTAAAGATGTGTGTGTGTATTCTTACTGTAACCAGGTACTCCACAGCTATCTGTGTTGTTAAAGCTGTGTGTGTGTATTCTTACTGTAAGTAGGTACTCCACAGCTATCTGTGTTGTTAAAGCTGTGTGTGTGTGTATTCTTACTGTAAGCAGGTACTCCACAGCTCTGTCTGGGTTGTTGAAGCTGGCTCTGAGCGCTGCCACTACCTGCTCCCTCTCATAGCCCATCAGCATCATCTCTGTCACCATGTTCTCATATGATTGGCCTGTCACTGAGGAGCAGGAAGAACAAACAACCAATCAGACGGCATTTTGATCAGAGATTCTGAAAGCTTCAGATGACATCATAAACATAGCCTAATAAAAACAGATAAAGAAGTGAAAGGCATAGCCCCACACCTCAATCTACATTTATACAGGGAAGACTACCAAGACACATGGCTATATACCTAACTACTACAGAGGAGATAAAGGATCAGCCATCACCTATAATCTATACACTCAATTATGTTAACTTATAACAGGAAGACCATTTACCCAGAGCAGAAGTTGCCTCCTCGAACATGTTCACATTTGTCAATAGACCAGAGGAACTGAAAGAGAAGGAGCGTGACGCTGATGAGTACTGTTCTGTAGTACATCACATGGTATGTCCTGTACTAAAATACAACCATAAAGAGATGCATTCATCCTTCTATAAGCTCAGACACTAGCAACATGTCAACTATTCTTCTGGTCCCTTGTCTTAGGGAGGGCGCACACAGCACCGAATGTCAATCTGCTATTCGTTCGGTACGGTGTGTTTTAGGGACCACCCACCCGGTGGGCGACTGCAGACATTTTCGCATGATTCTACATGTAGGATCGGTTTGCAAATGACGACTGGCACTCTGAACAGAGGTGCTAAGTACTCTCTAGCGGTGTGTCTGTGCCTTCATGTCCCCTTTTCCAGTGAGAACACAAATTCTCAGTTTCAAACATTTTGCATGAGGCTACCGTTGAAATGGGCCTGGTAACCACAGCTTCCTATTAATGGCTGCCAGCTGGTCCTTCAGGCCAACATAACACTGTTTGCATCCCAAATGGCACCCTACTTCCCATGTAGTGCACTAAATAAAATAAAAAGTAGTGCACTGTATAAGTAACAGGGTGTCCTTTGGGACACAGCAGTGACTGCCAAACCAGACCTACCTGGTGGGGGTTGATGCTGGGGCTGAAGTGTTGCAGGGCCTCTCCTCGGCTGGTTTGGACCCCTCTGGTGGGTTCTCTGAGCCTGACGAGGCAGCAGTGGGTACAGTGGGGGCTGTAGTGCTGGAGGAGGAGGAGGTGGTGGAGGCAGAATCGGAAGGCTGGGAAGCTGCTGGGGCTGCTTTAGGCTATATAGAGAAAAAAAGGGAATCCCCACAGCGCTCGGTGTTTGTTGCTTTCGAAAGCATCTTAAGAACGCTTATGCCCTATAGGTGATACAGTAACAATGATTTAACCAATATGGCTTTTTTCATGTAAGTAGCCTGTGATCTGCTTTAGGCTACAGACATGGACACATTGGGAATTAATGCGATTCATTTTAGGTCACTTTCACTTTGTGAGGTAGCAATAGTTCCTTTACTATTCAATCTTTAGAAGAAAACTCCCTGCTGCCAATGATCACTTTAGACACTCAAACTGTGCAGAAGGGACATATTGTAGCTCAGTGTGGTAGGATATTCAATCATTTCATGAACTGTTGCTGCACCTGTGTGCATGGGGAGGGGGGCTGTAACAACTGATTCCAATCCACTCCGCACAGTGGGATGCAATCTGCATTAGGTCAGTGTGATATTGAGGTGTGTGTGTGACAGTTCATTTTGGCACTTTCATTTTAAAAAAAAGATTTAGTCAGTCATTTAGAGTAAAATATAATTAAGTCTTAATTAAAATGACAAAAATGTGACTGAGGATTTAGTCTAGTTATTGTCAAAATGACAAAAACAAATGGGCCATTTTAGTGAACTAAATGACCATCCATTTGTATTGCATCATTAACCTATAGTAAACATAAATCAGTGTTTCAACTATATTCATTTAGTAGCGGTGGGCCAACGTTGCTAAACTCGTGGCTGCCACTCCAAAAAATATATATTTATAAAGTGTTTTACAAAATACTTTTCTGGATGGTAAAACGCTTTAAGTGTAAATTTAAACAACTAAAACCAGATATAAAGTAAGTAGAAAAGATAATGGAGCCATCTATATTTTTTCATATTTACCGAAGCCACGTTCAGTTGCAAAAATAGAGCCGACGTTATTCCTTATTCAACATGTCAGAGAGGCATGTTTGTTCTACATAGCATATTTCTATCTGAAAGTTTCAAAACGTTGGATCCTGCTGAACGCGCCCCAGGTTGTCAGCTATAGCTAGCTAATGAGGTAACATGAATGAACAAGGCGTAGCCTAAACAAATGGTTAACGATCCGGGCCGCAAATAGCCTTGTTTTAGAACGGCCCGCAATATGCTTTATGAATGTAAAATGCGGCAAAATGGAAAGAAAAATAAGTAGCGCCGGTATTATGGGTCATACGTTTTGAACAGTAATGGCTACAATCTGAAGAAAATAGGGAGATTTGACTAGTACGTTGGCTAAAGAACCTGGCTATGAAATGCAGTGACGAAAGCGCGATGGTTGAGCGAGACTACAAATAAAAATACTTTTCTATACTCAAGGGAAGGAAAAACATACAGTGCCTTCAGAAAGAATTCACACTCCTTGACTTTTTCCACATTTCGTTGTGTTAAAAGAATTTAAAATTAGTTCAATTTGGATTTGTCACTGGCCTACATCCCATCACATCAAAGTGGAATTATGCTTGTCGAAATTTTTACAAATTAATAAAAAATGAAAAGCTGAAATGTCTTGAGTTAATAACTTTTCAACTCCTTTGTTATGGCAACCCTAAAGTTCAGGAGTAAAAATGTGCTTGTCAAGTCACATAATAAGTTGCATGGACTCACTGTGTGCAATAAGTGTCTACCTCATCTCTGTACCCCACACATACATATAATTGTAGGGTCCCTCGGTCGAGCAGTGAATTTCAAACACAAATTCAACCACAAAGACCAGGGAGATTTTCCAATGACTCACAAAGAAGGGGTAAGAATAAAAAAACAAAACAGACATTGAATATCCCTTTGAGCATGGTGAAGTTATTAGTTCCACTTTGGATGGTGTATCAATACACGCAGTCACTACAAAGATACAGGCGTCCTTCCTAACTCAGTTGCCGGAGAGGAAGGAAACTGCTGAGGAATTTCAACATGAGGCCAATGGTGACTTTAAAACAGTTACAGAGTTTAATGGCTGTGATAGGAGAAAACATTGTAGTTACTCCACAATACTAACCTAATTGACAGAGGGAAACGGAGGAAGCCTGTACAGTATAAACATTTTCTAAACATGCATCCTGTTTGCAACAAGGCACTAAAGTAATACTGCAAAAAATGTGGCGTGGCAATTAACTTTTTGTCATGAATACAAAGTGTTATGTTTGGGGAAAATGCAATACAACACATTATTGAGTACCACTCCATATTTTTAAGCACAGTGGTGGCTGCATCATGTTATGAGTATGCTTGTAATCGTTAAGGACTGGGGAGTTTTTTCAGGACAAAAAAAAGAAACAATGGCAAAATCCTAGAGGAAAACCTGGTTCAGTCTGCTTTCCACCAGACCCTAGGAGATGAATTCACCTTTCAGCAGGACAATAACCTAAAACACAAGGCCAAATCTACACTGGAGTTGCTTACCAAAAAAGACAATAAAAGTTCCTGAGTGGCCGAGTTACAGTTTTGACTTAAATCTGCTTGAAAAATCTATGACAATAACTGATGTAGGCTAGGCTGTGTGTGCCGTGTCCTTCCCAATGTTGAACAGAGCATCCGTGCTGCTAATATTAATTGTGCTCGTCACTGAAAAGCTCTCAATCTCTCCAAAAACTATTGTCCAGTCCACTTAGTCAGATTTTAGTCACAGAGATAATTTAGTCTCGTTTTATTCAACTGAAAAGAAAAATTATTTACGTTAATTTTTTTCTGGGTCTATTTAATCAGTTATAATCTCATCAATTGCCACTGAAAAATTGGTGTTTGATGAATATTTGGCACAATTTTTGTTGATTAAATTAACACTGTGTGACAGGCCTAGGAAATATACTACATACACACAGTCAAGTCCAACGACATGGAAAGTTAATTAAGTCCATCTGCCATTATCAGTGGTTGCCACAGTATGTGTGTTACGGTCAGGTGTGTGCGTGTTACGGTCTTAAGTGTGTATGAAAATTGTTTCACAATGAAAAAACAGTTCTCCCCTGCAATGAAGGCCATATCATTTTTGTGGACAGATCGCAACATCTCTAATACCTTACCTTTGCCACCATGACAACCACAAAGTTCTTCTCATCAATCTTATAATCCTTAATAGCAGTGTCATCATTTAGGATTTTCCCTGCAAGGAACAAACATGAAGATAGTCATTTATCAGCCAAAAATGCTTCAATAACCTTGACATTCTAAGACAATAAAATTCCCAGAAGCCTATCCCTGGGGAGAACACTGATATCCCGACACCTATAATTTAAGTCATAGTGGAGAAGAAACATTAAAGATGCACTATGCCAACATCTCTCCTCCATTTCCTGGTTGCTAAAATTCTAATAGTTAGCCTAAATTCAGTTTGTCACAAAACAAGTGTAGATAATCATTGTACCATCTAAACCGCTGTGAAATATATTTTCCATAACCAAAAATATTGTATTTTCTGCTGGTGTACAAAACCGAAAGTAAAAGAAGCAAAAAACGAAACTCAAGACTGGGAATCATAGAAAGTGTACATTGAACCGATCTACCACATACTTCCTTTCAATAAGAATGACAGATCTATAACTTGCATTTCTATGTGAATTTGGTCTGGTCCCCCAAAAAGTCACATTGCAGCTTTAAAATGCCACATACACAGATTGAACACTGCATTGCTCCATTCCCATAACATAATTATACTAAACAAAAATATAAAAGCAACATCCGATAATTTCAAAGATTTTACTAAGTTACAGTTCATGTAAGGAAATCAGTCAATTGAAATAAATTCATTAGGCCCTAATCTATGGATTTCACATGACTGGGTAGGAGCTCAGCCATGGGGATGCCTAGTAGGGCATAGGCCCACCCACTGGGGAGCCAGGCCCAGCCAATCAGAATGAGTTTTTCCCCCACAAAAGGGCTTTATTACAGACAGAAATACTCCTCAGTTTCATCAACTGTCTGTGTGGCTGGTCTCAGACAATCCCGCAGGTGAAGAAGCCGGATGTGGAGGTCCTGGGCTGGTGTGGTTACACGTGGTCTGCGGTTGTGAGGCTGGTTGGACGTACTGCCTAATTCTCTAAAACGACGTTGGAGGCGGCTTATAGTAGAGAAATTAACATTAAATTATCTGCCAACAGCTTTGATGGACATTCCTGCAGTGAGCATGCCAATTGCACGCTCCCTCAAAACTTCAGACATCTGTGGCATTGTGTTGTGTGACAAAACTGCACATTTTAGAGTGGCCTTTTATTGTCCCCAGCACAAGGTGCACCTGTGTAATGATCATGCTGTTTAATCAGCTTCTTGATATTCCACCCGTCAGGTGGATAGATTATCCTGGAAAAGGAGAAATGTTCACTAACAGGGATGTAAACAAATGTGTGCAGAAATTGATAGAAATATACTCCTGAGTGGCACAGTGGTCTAAGGCACTGCATCGCAGTGCTAACTGTGCCACCAGAGATCCTGGTTCAAATCCAGGCTCTGTCGCAGCCGGCCGCGACCGGGAGACTCATGGGCGGCGCACAATTGGCCCAGCGTCGTCCAGGGTAGGGGAGGGAATGGCCGGCAGGGATGTAGCTCAGTTGATAGAGCATGGCGTTTGCAACGCCAGGGTTGTGGGTTCGATTCCCACGGGGTGCCAGTATAAAAAAAAAAAAAATGTATTCACTAACTGTAAGTCGCTCTGGATAAGAGCGTCTGCTAAATGACTAAAATGTAAATAAGCTTTTTGTGCATATGGAAAATGTCTGGGATCTTTTATTTCAGCTCATGAAACATGGGACCAACACTTTACATGTTTCCTTGTTCAGTATACATGAAAACATTGAGATGACAACCTGTGTACTGACATACTTACGCAGCTCTCTTATCAGTGTGCCACAAGGCAAGCCAACAGATACGCAATTATATTATGACAGCACAACGATTTTTTTATGCATTCTTTTTTTTAAATCAAAGTCCTTATCATACTGCCAGACAAAATGTAGAGTATGGGAATAAAAGACTGAAACTGTACCTGCATATATCAACTTCTGCCATGCAACCGGAAAACCATCGTTTCCCTTCTCATTCTCAATTCTTTCCTTTAAGGTTTTTACCTGTAAAGAAAATGAGATGTAGACAGGCAATGCATGAAGGGATCGAAGTCCATTGTGAGAAATACATGGTGTCAAATCTATAGAGCTGTCGTTAGATAGCTATATGGATCAATGATCTGAATTATTAATTAGCCAGATAACTAACAAACTATCCAACTGCTTCATAAATAGTGAGGCAGCAGCTGTTTAGCTAACTAGCGAGCTAAGTGTGGCTAACGTTAGCAAATTAGCTAACTAGAATAGATGGCTAACTGTTACTTAGTTAACTAGCGAACGTTTACTAGCTATAACACAAACCCAAAAGTTGCAGTTTTAAATAAATATCTATAGTAAACGTAAATTGCAGCTATCCATGAGAAAGGTTATTTAATAAGACATAACGTTAGCTAATTAGCTAGCTAGTTGAGATTGATAAAGTTGAGCTAATTAGGTAGCTACTAGCTAAAGCTAGCCTAAATTAGCGAACGTTAGTTACAATTTCCTCAAGTTTCAGATTTTTTGGACATCATAAAACCCCAATAAGTGTATATGATGGGTGTTACTACTTTATGTTAAGAGGACTACTAATACACTACTTGAAATGGGGACTTTAACATGTTTAAGTTGCTTCGCTACCTACAGTAGTTATCTAGCTAGCCATGTCAAACTAGCTAAGAATGTGTGCTAGCTAGCTCTCTTGCTAGCCAACGGTAACTTAGCCGAAGCCATCCACCCCCTTCAACAAATGCATGGTGGTTTCAACTCACCGTCTCCTCTTCGTCTATGTCGATTTTAAATGTCTGCTGCTGGAGGGTTTTCAAAGTGATCTGCATTTTCGCGATGAGCAATTTAGCTTAGGTTTCACCACGTACTCTTTCCGAGGGTGTAGGTGGATTCGTTCCTATTTTCGCCTGCTCATCACTGCCCGTCCGCCGCCATTACGCTTTTGGCTTTTCAGTGCATAAACAAACCTGACTTTGCACAAAAAGACGAGTAGGCATGCGCCAATTGGTGACACGAGTGCGACAGTGCAAGACACATGGGAAATTGAGTATTCATTTTAATTCACCCATTCATTCATACATTTATTCATTGGTAGCAGTGCATCACAGATAAAAATAAAATAAATAAAATAAAACTTGTTTTGAGTGCACCATCATCGGCGCATTCGTGATCATTCCTGGTCGAGGGAATACTTTTTTGTTTCTTCGTGACTTTGATTTTAAGCTAAATTAACGCACTCGGGTTTTATTTTCTCTCAAATCCTAGTTAAATAGTACGATTACTCACTAGCTTTTAGGCAGGAGTGTGTTGTTAACAACATTTGCGTGAGCAACAATAGTGGAATCGGCGATTCGACTTCAAAATAAGTCACCCATTGAAACATGCAAACGGTTAAAATTTGTGAAAACATGCCACAATTTCACTTGATAATGATAAACAAGGTTGGAATGTTTTTATATAAATTCAACAAAAGACAATTATTAGTTCATTTGACCCCAAAAAAGTACAAATCTGTTGAAAATGCACTGTGGATGCATTTGAATTCAGAATTGCATTGCTTATACGCACTGTACAGCCTAACCTATGGATTGTGCATCCATGAAAATCCTACACAATGACACCCACAGAACACAACAATACGGAATATGCATTCAGATCTTCTTGTAATTGAATGACTGTTTCATTTGCAAATTAGAGCAGATGGTGTTAACAAACTACAGTATATAGCCTTCCTGTATTTTGTTTCAATCAAGCACATTCTGCCGCCTACATTCGAGCACTGTTGAGTTTTGGCCTCCTGCGATTTTGTTGTTGTTGGACTAGAGCGAACCATCCAAAAATCTCTTAAGAAATTAGGTGCTGTTTTTGGTGTAACAGTAATGTTATAGTAAGCTATTATATTTGTTTTTCTTATGTAGAATACTAATGAATAATTATGTGATCTTCCAAGACCTTGATTCAGTTTTGATCTAACTTTACTAAACGAGCACCACTGTGAGAAGTGGTGTTCTCTGGCAGCACTACACCCCTGCAGTCTGCTGCACTGAAGGATCTAATTTAAGCGCCCCAGCCACACCTAGTCTATTATTTTTCCTTGTGCAAACTTTGGTGATGCAGAAACGAGAGGCCACAAGTGTGCCTGTTTTATGACAATCTGGGAATATGTGGCCGAGGAAACACTCTGGTTGGTCTCAGGGAATGTAAAACAGTTAGGAAGGGAGACTTTTAAAACGGTATTGAGTGAAGTAGCGGCAAATATGTTGAATGAGCAACTAATGAGCATTGAGACTGAAGAGCCTGACAAGTTTGATGAAATTATCTTATATCTTTCAGTCTAATTCGGCTATTTACTTACTTGTGTTGCTCTTCATCAGAAGCACGCTTTTTGTAAGTAGTGAGGCCTAATTGTCCTCTCCAAATTAAAGTGTAATTTAGCCCGAAAGGATTTCAGAAATGTGATTGGTTGACTATAGGCCTATGACATTGGCCTACTTCTTGTCTTGCGCTGTGCATAATATTAGATCTAAACAATAATTGGAGAAGTGTTTAACATCACCAGTACCACATCCTTATGATAGGCTATATATATATATATATGTTCATAAGCGCAACATGAATGCAAGACAGGTTGGAATGTCTGACTGAAATATGGGACACATTTTTTACATTTGTGGAGTTTCAATTTGTTGATAAAATGCGGGACATGATTGTTTGGGTGTTGGGGAAGTGGGATAATGGGGCATAATGCGGGACTGTGCCGCACAACCCGCGACATGTGGTCATCCTACTGTGGGTGTCACCAAGTAGGTTGATACCCCATTTCATTGGTGCACAATCCATATGTCAGTATGTAAAGTGCAAATATGAATGTTCATTACACACAATAGACTAACTGGGGAGGTGATTGTCCACAGTCAAAGTTCCGAAATAAGAGCTATGATGCTAATATTTGTTAAACTCTACAGTGTTGTGTTCTGTGGGAGTCATTGAGTAGGCTGATACCCCGTTTCAAGGGTGAACAAGACAGGCTGTGCAATAACAGTAAGTATGCCCCAATGTAATTCTGATATCTAGTACATCCACTGTGCGATTTCAACAGATTTGTACTTTTTTGTGTGTGAAATTAACCAATACATGTCATTTGTTGAATTTATATAACAACATTCCAACCTTATTTAGCATTATCTAGTCCAATTATGCCATAATTCCACTATTTTTATCCATTTGCATCAGTTTCAATGGGGGACTTTATTTCAAAGGCAAACCGCCCCATTCCACTATTGTTGCTCTCGCTAATGTTGTTCACAACACACTGGTATTTTAGGCTATGCTACTCTCCTTCCAGCCCAACTGTCCACCTGATGGCGCTACCTGAGATCCAACTGTAATCTGCCCAGCCTGTGATACACTAGGGTCCCACTGCAACCGGTTCGGTACATAAAACATCCTTAATTTAGGCTGCAGAATTGCGTAGGTTTCCTCTGATATAATGGGCCGCTGGCCTAAAAAAAACGGGGAAAACATGCATACTACCATTTTCTACGCCCATGCTAGTGGCTTCCTGATGTTGTCTACAGCATTCAGCCAATCAGGCTGCAGCAGTCTGTTGTTTACCCCTGGCCTAGCCCACTGAGGTATAATAAGAACTGGAGACTGCGTCCAAGATGTCTGACCATTGTTTTCAAGGTAATCTACTAGCATTCGCATACAGTGATTCATGGACCGTCTATATCCAGGTTGCATCCGGTTTATATGACCAACGTCACACGTGCACTAGCACTCAGTGTGCACAGGGAGCAGCACGAGCAGTGACGACGTCATCACGTCATCCAAAAACATGGCAGACATTGGATGAATATAAAATATGAATATCTTCGGCTGGGAGTGATGGAAAAAAAGTCGGCCTAAGCGACAATTATTTGTATAATTCAGTGGATGTTTTGTGCACAAAGGTGATGATTAAAGTGTCTTATTAGGAATTTTCAAATCTGACTTCTCGGTGAGGCTGTCTATGGAAATTGTCTTTCTGGGCCGGGTGTCAGTTAAACTGCAGTACCGAAGCAAAACTGTAGGAGCAGGCGAAACCGTGCTTCTAGACCAGAACTCAGGCCCCTTGGTTTAGCCTCTGCCGAGTCCCCAACATCCGGATGTTCCGGTTTTCAGGAGAAATGGAAAGAGAGCCTGTGACACGACTTCCGCTTTTGGACGTTAACAAGGTAGCCTCTGCCGAGTCCAAGGGGCCAGGGTTCTGGTCTAGAATCACGGTTTCGTCTGTTCCTACAGTTTTGCTTTGGTACTGCAGTTTAACTGACGCTCGGCCCAGAAAGACAAAATCCATAGACAGCCACATAGAGAATTTGGGACATTATTAACAAGGCGAAACTTAATCTGAACTCCTCCTCCATATTTACTGGATTGTTTGAACAGTGCAGAAGAGAACCTCCCCCTGCAGAAGACAACCTCTCGTCAAGACCAGTATGTAAGGGATCTAGTTTCAGGCGTTTCTTTTACACCTGCTACGTTAGGTTACCCCTGGTCTGAATGCTGTGTAGTGTATCACCAGCTGGGCAGATTACAGTTGAACGTCAGATGACAAACGACGTCAGAAATAATAGCGCCATCTGGCGGATAGTTGGACCACTCTCGTTCGTGTGTCCTGATCTACCTGCTACCTGTGAGCACCTCCCAAATAATACCACGTTATGGCCCTGTTTAAACCTAACCACTTTCGGGCCTGGAATTGGAAAAAGAGACACATGTGCTCCCATTTAATATAAATTGCTCATACTAATGCTAATCCATGAAATGTCTGAGGGCGTAAAGTCAGGGCTTCAGGTCAGGACAGACCCACAGAGGAGTCACAGAGTGGAGGAAAAGAAGGTAGGACTCTGACCCGCTGCAGACACCCAGTGAACGCCATAAGAATGGGTCTGTGTCCTGGAGGACCAGAGGGCAATTTGACTTGAACCTGTTTGACTTTTCAACACCGAGACCAAACCAATGGGAAAGGTAAGTATGGCTCTTCATACCCAATCAGTCATCATTGCTTTGCTTCATAAAGATTCATACAATGTACACCTGATGATGAATTCGAGCACTGTACTAGATTGTCTTTAACGGAATTTAGTATTACCCAAGTATAAGTCAACTCAAGCCAAGGTAATGTGGTCTGATTTATTTGTTATCCATTTACTTGTATCTCATCAGGTCAGTTGATTTAGAACACATTCACTACAAATAGTACCCCCACTTCCTATATGCTGTTCATTTCATAGTGCATCATCCCTTTAGTAACTGGACGAGAAGCCCATTTAAGTGTAATAATAGTTTTTCAACAATCTAAACTCATTCAACCGTTTAAATCATTCAACATCCTGTATTCAGTCAGTACCCTGTGTAACTACCATCACTCGTCCCTCTGAACAGCCCCTCTGGCTTTGAGAGGAGGACTCTGTCAAGTGTGTGATATGTTGGAGCTCAATGAGGTCACTGCCCTTGGCGTGCAGCGCTCTCTCTCTCTCTCTCTCTCTCTCTCTCTCTCTCTCTCTCTCTCTCTCTCTCTCTCTCTCTCTCTCTCTCTCTCTCTCTCTCTCTCTCTCTCTCTCTCTCTCTCTCTCTCTCTCTCTCTCTCTCTCTCTCTCTCTCTCTCTCTCTCTCTCTCATTCTCTCTCTCTCTCAATTCAATTCAAAGGGATTTATTGGCATGGGAAACATATGTTTACATTACCAAAGCAAGTGAAATAGATAAACAAGTAAACATTACACTCACAAAAATTCCAAAAGAATAAAGACATTTCAAATGTCATATTATGTCTATTTACAGTGTTGTAACAATGTGCAAATAGTTAAAGTACAAAAGGGAAAATAAATAAACGTAAATATGGGTAGTTTTTACAATGGTGTTTGTTCTTCACTGGTTGCCCTTTCCTTGTGGCAACAGGTCACAAATGTTGCTGCTGTGATGGCAC